AATTTATTTAAGTAGCAATATCACAAGTTCAAGAACTCCGATGTTTTGTTGACGCAATCTCGCCATGTCATGATAATGAGAAAATAAATACAAATCACCTTTATGGTTGGGAAATAAAAATGCTAACTAATGTTTTGTGCGCTTCCAATCTCCCTAGTCCTGTTGGATTGTAAATTAGATGGTAGTATTTCCGTTCACAATATTGTAGTCGCAATAGTACAAGACTGTTCCCCTCACCCCCCCTCCCTTTCCACAACGGATCGATGCGCTTGTTCAAAACAAAATCTGTACCATAATCTTCTGGTAGAGGAACGTGTGTAGAGGAATTTTTTTTATGAAATATGCACCCAAAGGATGCCAGAACATGATTGACAAGTTGCTTTCCATTGGAATGTTAGTGGCAAGAGATCAACAAGGTTACACAGGATGAAGGTGATGGATGCCAGAGGATGGTTTGATTGATTGATTGACAAGTTGCTTTACATTTGAGGAAAATAAAAAAAAGTGGTCAAAACTTCCAACTTACTGCAGTCTGTTGGCAAGCCGCTGCATTCTTGGCTCAAGGTCGGTCTTCTCTTGAGCTTTTATGGGAACCAAATACATGGATGCACCCATCAAACTGTTCAGTAACATGTTTCCATGACAACCAGTCTCAGAAAGGTTCTAATAAATGATGCAAAATTAATTGCTGAATGATTGAAAATATGAGATGAATGTGTTAAGTAATGATTTATTTTTTTTATATTATTATTTTCATTTATTTACTTGGAGCCTTGGAGAGCAGTTGGCTGGGCATAGGCAGTGAGTATAAGCACAGCCTTAAAGAAGTGGGAAAAATTAAGGCTAGTAAAAACACTAGACTCAAATTAGACCAGTGGATAGAGCAGGCGATGTTTACACTGAATGTCATATAATAAGTATTAAGCAGTGAAAAATCAAGAAATTGAGAATAAAGGGGTCCCGGGAAAGACATTCACAGACCAAGGGTCCAACAACCATGGTAGGGCTGAGAAAAACTATAGTTGTGGCACCTCTAGATTGCTGGAAATGGCTCTCTTACACTTAAATTTGAATAAAATTTTCTTCTTATGTTTTCTCCATTCTTTAAAAAGAACTTAAAAAAAATATGAAGGGGCACAGGTCAGCTGAGGCCCCCCAGGGTTCCATCTTCAATCTGCCACTGATAAGTATTTACCTCTGACCTGGATCTGAGTAGAAGATGAGTTTCAATACCAAGTTGTTTAGCTGCAACTGCTGTGCTGCGACAATGGTTTGACTGAACTCCACCACATGTTATCACTGCTTGGCAACCAGTTGCTAAGGCTTCACCTAGTAAGAACTCCAACTTCCGTACCTAATAAAAACATAAACTTATGACAGAGGGCGCTGATAAATTTGAATTTAAAAGCAAAAAGACTGACAGAGATGAAGCAGAGGACAAATAATAAGGACTTGTCCAGACTATCAAATATTATTTGACAAAAACATGTGACATGCCTAAATATGGTCAGTTGATATTCAGGGGCAAACTTAAATATATGAAATAATGTGATGCAAGACATAGAGAGGGAAAATATTTTGAGTCATGAGACCCAGAACACAGGAATCTGAAGGCAAAGCATTGTCACCACCAAGCACACCTCCACTACAATCTTAATCTTAATCTCTGATCACACATCAGCAGTGGCGACTCTAGGATATATTTTCTGAGCTTCCCAAATGAGGTTTATTTTAAGAATAGGAACCTATGGATGGCCAGAAATGACACTTTCAGACTGTGACAGACATCTGTTGGCTTGGTGTGGGTTGTTTTTATATTTCTTTTTTAGTACAACTGCCCGATGTGTTCTGTCTAATGGGGGGAGGGGCTTGACCAGTCTGGTGGGGGGGCTTAGGCTCCTGCTTCCCCCTCCCACACTGACTATCAGGTGTGACAAATAAATGTGGTATGTCCATATTTGGGTGTAATATGACATAATCATGCACATCACACAAATTTGTCACAAAACATTTGATAGTGTGGACACAGCTTCAAGCTCTGTTCACACTAGCTTGGTTCACGTCGAACTTTTATCTAGATATACATCCACTTAACTAGTTAAAAGTTCGACGTGAACCACTCAATTATAGCTAGTTAAAGGAATTAAGTCACTTAAGTTAAGTGACTTAACTTTACTACAATAACAGTAAATTAACTTGCTTAACGGTAAAGTCGGCTCGGATTACAAGGACACGATTACATAACGTAGGCATCTAAGCCAGCTTTGTTGTATGTACCACCATTATCATCTTCTGGCTGGCAACAACGTACTTCAACAATGCTAACAACAGCATCGAAGTAAGTCTCATTAGTCTGGTTTTCAGAAATTATTTGTAATTATGGGTAAACACCCAGCAAACGTCCGTTTTACGAAGTCGATATTACCAATGACCTTTGCATAATCGACCAAGTAATAACGTTAAAAAGTCCGATTGCGTACGTTTTTCAAAGTGATAATGTATATTTTTCTTGATAATAAAATCAGATTTGTTGTATTTATTTATTGACAATTCAATCTTTTCTATTTCTGCTATAATAGTCGCTATTAATTCAATTTCAACGAACTACCACCAACGCCAGTCGTTAAAATGAGCGCACGTTTACGATGACGAAATAAAAAAGTGTGTGGAAGTCAGCAACTTATTTGACACCGCGAAGCTAGATTTTCGCGAAGTGCATGTAAACAACACAATTGATCTAAACACTAGAAAACAGGACATAAAAGTCCATAAAGTATACATACGTTTTAATGAAAATTAAAACAATATTTTGTTAAATGGAAGAATGCTAGCTAGCGATTAAAATAATTCATTTTTTATCGAAGGTAAATGTAGCTAGGGCCAGGGCCTAGAGAATCTACCACTTACATTGCGATAGAACACGCTGCTGCACTGGTCGTTGGTTCATACTGGTCGGCTAGGTTAGGTAGTGGAAACTCACACCTTCTCTACAGTAGTTTACAATTTTTTTTTAACAAATACCACTTGGTACTAGAGGTTCGTCAAATACAGTAGATGTTTTATTAAACAAGCCTTTCCACCGTGTGACGTCGACGGCCTGAAACTGGCTGGCTGTTTATCTGGCTCTAACTTGGCATCGAACGCAATTAGGGGATTATCGTATCATGTTTCAAGACGGGTATATCTAGATAAAGTTCGACATGAACCACGCTATTGTCAGGTTCTATGTGACAAATTTTAAGAAGATAATTCCTGAACTTTTGTATTAAAATGGATTTAAATAATTGGAAATGATACTTTTTTTTTTTATCTGTGACTTGATGTATTTAAAATAAATGTTGATATTATCAGTGTAATTAAAGCAATACAGTATTAGACATCTAACCTTGTTACCTGATAAAACAGATCCAGTCATGTCATCTCGCTTGATATAAATATCAATATCATCTGGTATATTTGGAAGACTCCATTTATGAATAGGTGTAAATAGCTGAAAAAGCTAAAAAACATTTAAATATCCCATTAATTGAGAAAATTAATGGGGTAACTGGCGACTAAGTGCTATCTATAGTGTATGCATTTGAAAAGTCTGTAGATTTACGTACATAACTGATATCCAATTTTAAATTTTGAGAAATATTTAGAAAATATTATTTTGATCTTAACAATTGAATTTGTTCCACAGGAACTGAATGAGTTTGAACTGGTCATCTGGCAAACCTACTGTATTCCCATCTTTTTAATAAGCATTTCCTCGTAATAGAGGTTGGCTGTAGAGCTAAAGACATTTTTGCAAAAAAGTTTCCCTTTAATATTAAGAGTGAGTCCCAAAGCAGGAGTTCTACTATACAAAAAAATAATCATTACTGCAAGCATCTTACTGTAATAACCAATCTACCATTGAATCAATAAATCTTATGTAAACGAGATCCGAGAATGCGCAGTTCTAACTACAATTAAGACTTTTAATTTGACTTTTAGTTTGACATTATTGGATTTTTGGAATAAGCCTTTGATTTTCACATGATTGCTCTTACAAATATCAAATTTTATTTAAATATTTATAAAATATCTTTCTTGATGACTGACTGGCTCTTCTCTCTTAGTATAGTTTAAACTCACCTGTCAGTCACCATCTTACAAATCTAATATTTGTTTCATTTTGCTATTAATCAGTATTTTGCCCAAGTGATTTCAATCTCTTGCTTTATGCAGTGATTTCTAGCTTTTGATCAGCTTTTAAAAATTGATTGATTAATACATTAAAAAATAAAATTCTCATATATTAAAAGTATTTTGAAAATCAAATATATTTATATACAATTGGATTTTTCCCTACCTTAACTTTCACTAATGGAATC